GCCGTCATTGTTGTTTGGCGGGTCCGGGCTGGGGATTCGAACCCGCCACCTTAGGTGTACGTGGCTGGCGCCTTAGCCGGTTGAGCTATAGGCGCCAAGCCGTGGCCAGCACTCTTGCCACTGAGCTACCCTGGTGCTGAACTGAAAAAGTTTCTTTTAGTTCATGTTTCAAATTCAGGCTTTGCCATGTACTGACTGTATGGTCTTGAATAAATTATTTAACCTCTCTGAACCTCAGTTTTATTGTCTGTAAAAAGAGGGAAGTAAGTATCTATATTGTAGGATGTGAGAATTAGAGTAATGATTATTGGGCATGAATAAATGACAGCTACTGTTGTTATTCAAGTGTGTGAAAATTACTCTCATCTGTCTGTTGATAAAGAAACTGATCCCTGACAGATATCTAGGGAAACTGTAGCTAAATAGATCACTAATTTGGACTTTCTCTTTTATTTTCTGGAAAAGATGTAAAGATTCCCCTAATGTCTGCTGGAGAGTATTGATAATGCAGAATGTACCTCTTGGTGTCCCTGTGATAATGAATGGTCTGTGTGTACAGGTTGAACTCTTGGGTACTATGTGAATTCATCTGTAGCTGTTGACCTTAAAAAAGGTGATAGAGTCAGAAGACACTGGTAACAGTTTGTCACCCCTCTAACTGCCCTGCTTCTTAAGATCAAGTGATGTTCCCGTCTCCCTCTTCCATTGTTGGCTGACCATGGTGATTCAGGGAAAAGTCTTCACCAATAACCTGGAGAAAGAAGTTGAACTGGGATAAGAACGGATTAGAGAGAAAGAAGAAAAATAGAAAGACCTCATCTCTAAAAAGGTAGTCGGGCATTGTGGCAGGTACCTATAGTCCCAGCTACAAGGCAAGAGAATCACTTGAGTCTAAGAGTTTGAGGTTGCTGTGAGCAGTGATGCATGGCACTCTACCAAGGGTGACAAAGTAAGACTGTCTCAAAAAAAAAAATAGTTATAATACAGACAGATTTAAATTATTATGAAAAAATTACATTGCACACATGAAATCTGTTTGAATTACCTCAGTTTTAGAGAGTTGCTTGTCATTGTCCGTGTCTATCTGTTTAAATGTTTCAATGCTCCGTGGTCCTTTGGTCACAGCGTAAAGTTCAATCTCAAAAATCAATGTTGCATCAGGTGGAATCTTGCCTTCTGCTAGGGGTATCAATTTTAAGTATTTAACATACATGAAGATATGCTTCAAATATTTATTCACAAACAGCTATATTAGTATTATGATTGTATTAATTCATATTTATAAGAACTACTTTCTAAACACTTAAAATATTTTTTGTCTTTTACAATTTTTTTTGTAAATAAATACTTTGTTTAAAATATTTTTTTAAAATAAATACTTTTAAAAGGAATTTTCCCATGCTTTTAAATAAAGTCAATTTGAATGCCCTATTGGACCACTATTTCCTGATTATATTAAACTACATATAAATCATGTAATTTGGCTCGGTGCCTGGGGCTCAAGCGGCTAAGGCGCCAGCCACATACACCTAAGGTGGCGGGTTCGAATCCCCAGCCTGGGCCAGCCAAACAATGATGGCTGCAACCAAAAAAAATGGCCAGGTGTTGTGGTGGGCGCCTATAGTCCCAGCTACTTGGGAGGCTGAGGCAGGAGACTCGCTTGAGCCCAGGAGTTGGAGGTTGC